GCAGCAAACGCCGTTTTCATGCATCAACATCACGCAACCGCGCGTGACCTTGAAAGACAGAGTCAAGACATGCTTGCTTGTGTACACTTTCTGAAATGAATGATTGCTGATTAGTGATATCCCAAACTCTGCGAGAATGGAAATGCATAGTCATCGTACGCAAGCATTCACGTTCCATTGTAAAAGTGTATCAGGCAAACGGTATTTTGCGGTGAATTTTGAGCCGTGTGGAAATGCATCATGAAATAAATTCAACGAAAACATTATCACGCAACGATATCTTCACGTCTTTTGATCTTCACTATACGAAAGAACATACATTTTTGAGGATGTATGGGGAATTTCTAGTTAATCCGATAATAAATATGGCAGTTAGAGTCCTGCTAAGAGTAACATGTCGCCGGCTGAGGCGGGATCGGCCGACGCGGGAAACGCAGCAGTCACAATTTTGTGTTTACACGTTCATATTTCAATTGTTTACCAACCTATTTTCAGAATTCTTTCACCATAAGATTGCCTGTACATTTCTTAGTCTTCTCACAAAATTTGACGCGAATCGAACGTAATCAGCGGTAAGGAGCGCGATGTAAAGACGGAACCGTTCCGTTCCGTCCCGGCACAGTCTACAATTCAGGCGGCGCGTAGCGGTCGGCGCCGGCTGCCGAGTCGCCGCGTCGCCGCGGCGACAGGATGTTCACTTTACACCGCTATTACTAGAACAGTTGTGAGCCGATTTTCTTATTGCTTGCACGATGAGATGTGCAATTCAATTCTGGACAGGTAGCCATAAGTAATTTCGCATCAATATTATGAGATATTGGCGAAAAACAGGAGGGGTGGGGCGAAATTCACTCTTCCCCCTCCACTGCGCGTGCTAACATACGTTTGCATATGTGCCATTTTCTTCAAAACTTATGAATGGCCCACTCTAATTTTTTCACAGGTTGTTAAGAATATGGTAGGCAATAAAATATATGAAAATGAGCCAAATCGAAGGTGGCGTGTTTTTTGCTATTTCAATTTTTGTGCTTAAGAACAGAGTTAAGCAAATTTCAAGGTCATATATTTAAGTCTATGCAATTCTAAACAAATGCTTAAGAAATTACCTAAACAGTAAGGTTTATTTCATTCAAATCAAACAAGTACAACCAAAGTTATGGTCGTTCAAAAATATAAAGATGCAACATTTTGTAAAAATTTGATGCCCTATATTTAGAAGACCTGTGGTCAGAATGTGCAAAAAACATCAATGTAATGTCCGGGGCGACAGAGGAACTCGCTCACAAATTTATAATGAAATCGCTGATGGTAAGGTGCAAAACAGCCGATTTTTGTTCGATTTGACGTGGAATGCCCCAATAGTTCCTGTTAACGCCAGACCCCTTGAGACCCTAATTTTTCGCGATTACTTTTAAATGCGTGAAGGAATTTCAACCAAGCTCAGGACATGGCCGTTTCAAGACAGGCTGAAACTTTTACAATTTAGATATTTTATCGCCATTTCAATATTTCAGGCACTTGTCATTGACTCGTAATGTTAAATTTCGAGCAAGATTTTCATCCGGTGTGTAGAGGCTATCACCAGTCAGTCTGTGATACGTTATGACGTCACAGCTAAGCCCCGCCTCTGTGGTCTTGGCCTGCGGCGGTTTCGGGCCGGCGCGCGGTCACTCTCGCTGTGGCGGGGAGCGGGGACGGGCGACGGTCGAGCGGTGCCGAAAGCCGGCGGAGTTGTGCGTAGCGTCTTGGCTGACAGTGCCCAGAGAGCGACATGATGACTAAGGAGTCATAAATGCTCAATGCACATTGCTTCTACAATGCTGATATGTTCGCTGATATATTTTTTTTATAAGCTGCAAATGACGGGCAGATGGCATATAACTGACATAAGGTTAGGAAATATTCACCTGTATTTAAAGCCTATGGCGTTGCAGATAATGCGATAATGGGATGTCGGATGTCACCAAGTAGCTGCCGATTTGTACATCGCTATGCAACCATCGAACAACGCAATAATAAGTTAATTGCCTGAGCTTCACATCATACGGCTCGCTCGTATTTCAAACAGATACCCTACATCGAAAATCGTATTTGTTAGGAATCGTTAACGTTTGTTCGAAGCACGACTGAGTAGTAGGTTGAGGAGTGATGGTCCTCTTGGTCCTATATACAAGAGTCAACAAGAGCCTAACATTTACTTGACCGTCTGCTGCAATTGACTCATAGCACGTGAAGCGTCAGCGAAATTCATAGTCCTTCACAGATGGCAGGGGTGTCGTTTGTACAGAGGTCGCTGATGGGCACGGGTCAATGCCGCAGTCGTGGGCGGAGCCTAATGTCATATGACGTAGAAAGCCTCTATCCAGGATGGAAAAACAGTTAACATTACGAGTCAATGACAAGTGCCTGAAATATTGAAATGGCGACAAAATATCTAAATTGTAAAAGTTTCGGCCTGTCTTGAAACGGCCATGTCCTGAGCTTGGTTGAAATTCCTTCACGCATTTAAAAGTAATCGCGAAAAATTAGGGTCTCAAGGGGTCTGGCGTTAACAGTAGCTCACCTTGCCAAGCTGCATCCAGGGAAACTAGTCAACTGAGGAACTGGCTCATTGGGTGGCTAGTGTGAGTCTGTGCATTTAAAGTGTTTCTTCTCTGAAGCTGCTCTGCACTGCTGTATGTCATGTTAGATGCTCAGAAAATGTGGGAAATGATTACTAAGCTACTTTAGTGCTTTGTTAATGCTCGAGACATGAACAAGTACAGATCCTGGCCCTGCACTTGCAGGGTACAGCCATGAGTTAGGTGCTAGGTGAGTATGTTATGTGAATGTGCTGTTCCCTGTTTGACCATAGTAAGTATACAAACAAGCACAGGGTCACAGTTATATTAAATCTCCACATAAACATACAACAAAAACGGCCATATAGCCTCACTCCGAACACACCACAAAGAACTTAAGCCTTTGCAGACACAAAAATGCTTTGATTTACAGGACAGGTATACAATATATCCTCTGTCCTTGGGGATCTTGCTGCCAAGTTGAGGTCCGATGACTGAACTTCAGGATTGATCAACCTTTTCTTCTTAGCCACTGCTTATATACGAGAAAGACCAAATGCTTGTTTGTAAACTGCGTTGAAAATTTAATGATCCACCTTCAATTCTGACATGAAAGCACAAATAAAATAGGGCACTGATATGAATTACACTGACGCTTATTCGCTTCATATTTTGTAACAAACGCGCTAAAACTGCAATATAACAGCACTATATGCTTCTTGACAAAATGCAAAAGTAGTAAAAATTTAGCCCTGGTTGCATTCATCCTTGGTGGAAACGTAATAACAAAATATTTTGTAGTAACTATTAAATTCCGGCCGAAAACAGTGCACGCATTAAGAAAGGATCATTCCAATGACGGTCCATTCTTGCGGTCCTGAAATCGCCACTATTTCCGGCCTCTCCAACGCAACTCGTTGTCCAGACGTAAATATGCTACTCACATAGATCCAGCGGCACTGCAGTACTGCTCGTGGAAGGCAGTCAGGAGCTCCCATCTGTCAGCTTTGGCCAACAGTTCTCCCGTCTTGATCTTGTCCTGAAGATCTGGTCCGAGGCGGGACGTCTCGACGCGGAACACCCTAAAGAGCAAACATATTTTCACCCCTGTATCGTAGCATTTCTTAACCCGCGGCGCCCCGCTGGGGGTCCTGGATTTCCATGCCCCGCTGGGGAGGGGGATGTGTCTGAGCATTGATCATTGATTCATTGAGGTCATTGATGGCAAAATTTCGCCGATTTCAGGTCAAATGTCGAGAAGCTCCAAGAAGCCAACGCATAACTCGGGATTCAATAGAGCTAGAGCGCCGCAGAAAATCGCATTCGATAGCCCTATTAACACCCTTTCTTACTAGTTCTCTCAGATTTGACCTAGCGTCAACCGTTTTGCCTGCAGGGGGCAAAAACTGCCAAAATAACGATTTTTTGGAGACAGTTCTTCTGCAATAACTTTTGACTCAAGCCTTGCACGAGCTTCCTTTTTTCCGACATCGTGTTCCTCTCGTCAAGACGCATCGAATGAACTATGATTTGACCTTGAAAGGTCAACTTGAAAATTTGACAGCTCAAAGTCATGATCTGACCGGAAAGGGTCATGTTGCATATCAGTCAATCCGTATCGTCGAGCTGAACACATCCAAGGCGTTTTGATCGCGCTAGCATGCCTCTATCAAAAGTTATCTGCAAAAAAAACTGTTAGATATCATTCGTGACCTGAGATGACCTCGGGCATAAACAGAGGTCACGGATACCATTTTGATGTTCAGTGTGTCTTAGTTACTTGTAATTCAGTGTTTGGGAGCGTTGATAATGGCTTTCGTCCAAAAGAGGCGCCTTTCAATTTTTTCCCATTGCCCTATAATGGGGAGGTCGCAAAATTGACCTGACCTTAGGTCGTCGATATCAAAATTATGAGATATACATTTTGTATATACTATTGCTCTTAGCAATCGCTGAGAGTTTCAAAGCGATCGGTTGCTCGGCGTAGCTATGGCAGACATTGACACTTTTTATGAGTTGAGGTCACTTCATATGACCTGGTGACCCTGACCTCAAATGACCTTGATCTTAAATTTTACAACATGTGTAGAACTGATGTATGATAAAGTGTGCACAAACGCGGCGCTTTGAGATATTCGCGAAAAACCACGGGGGGGGGGGCGGTGTTCAAACACCTCCCCCCCCCTAGCAGGACGCGGGTTAAGACGCCCAGTGGAAGTTTGAAAATTTGAGTTCCGAGAAACCAGAGAAACGGAACCGGAGCCCAGTCGAAAGATATCAGAGACATACGAACTCAAAATATTCATGACGTCATATGACCTTGAATGCTTCAAACTGATCGATTCAAAACCGTGGCCTCGGCAAATCATGAAGCTGTTGAAAATTGGCATTTTGTATGTTCAGAGTTTGACCTGATCTGGTGACCTTATACAAGGTTACTAAGCTGGAAGTGCGTCCTTTGCTGGTGAGGCTGGAGGACAAGGCACTCTGCCTGTCTTCGGAAGCACCTGCAGTCGTTTCCTTTACGGAGTCGGCCACACTGAGAATAAGTTAGTGTATTAATTATTAAAGTGAGAAACAGGTTCAATGGTATGCCACACATTTTCTGCCCAGTCAAAGGGACCGACTCTCCCTGATACCTGATACCTGATATTTGGGGATCATTGAAGGCACTAGGATTGCCCGGTGGATCCGTCGTAGAGAGCTCGGGTAGCGTCAACAGTCTTCACTATTGTGGAACGACGAAGGCATAGTTCGTCCAGTGCTTATCCAGCCGGTTCTTGAAAACATTGGTCGATGGCGAGCAGACGATTTCCTCTGGTAGAGCGTTCCAGTCCGACACAACCCGGGTGGCGAAGTGGTTGCGCCGGACGCGGCTGACCGCTGGCTTCTTGGCGACCTTCAGTCGGTGGCCGCGGGTGCGTGTACTCGGGGCGGGCGAGAAGAAGTCGTCCTTGTCCAGGCCGGAGCGTCCATGCATGATGTTGAACATTGTTATCATGTCTCCGCGTCGACGGCGGTACTGGAGGGAGGGAAGTTTCAGACTCTTCAGCCGTTCCTCGTAAGGCAGATGCCGAAGTCCAGGGACAAGGCGCGTAGCCCGTCGCTGAACCCGCTCCACCAGCCTCACGTCGGCCGCGTTGAACGGGCCCCAGACTTGGTTGCAGTACTCTAGGTGCGGGCGAACCATTGTCTTGTACAGCAGAGGAAGTGTCTTGGAGTCGATGTGGACGAAGCTATGCTTGATCAGGCCGAGGATTCTGTTGGCCTTACCAATGGCGGTCGCCGCCTGCTCCCTGAATTTAAGCAGTCTGTCCATCTGGACTCCCAAGTCTCTTTCCGTGTCGACAGTCTTCAATGCAGCGCCTTCGATCGTGTACTCCGTTCGCACGTTTTGGCTGCCCAGGTGAAGCACTGTGCACTTGGATGGGTTGAACGGCAGCTTCCACTTCCGAGACCAGGCCGCCAGGGCGTTCAAATCCTGCTGGAGCCTTTTGCGACCGATCTCGGTGCCCGCTCCGACGTACACCTTCGTATCATCAGCGAAGAGCTTGCATGCGCTCTCAACGCAGCCAGGTAGGTCGTTGACAAAAGCGATGAAGAGCACCGGTCCCAGAACTGTGCCCTGCGGGATACCGCTGCCGACTGCGGTCCAGTCCGAGAAGCTGCCGTTGACAGTGACCCTTTGCTTCCTCTCTGTCAGGAATGAGCTAAGCCACTCGAGGAGGGGTCCTCTAATGCCCATGTCGTGGAGCTTCTGCAGAAGACGCAGGTGAGGCACCGAATCGAAGGCGCGTCGGAAGTCCAAGTAGGCGACGTCAACCGGCTCGCCCTCCTCCATCAGCCAAGTCCACTCTTCGAGTGTGCTGAGAAGCTGCGTTGCGCAGGAGCGTCCCGGGCGGAAGCCATGCTGGCAGTCACTTAGCTGGCCTGTCTCTGTCATATGCTCGAACAGGGCGTCACGCACGAGCGACTCCAACACTTTTGCCTCCCACCTTCAAAAAACTTAATGACTTTTTTGCAACCGTAGTTCAGAAAGAGCAAACATGAATAGAATATCTATTAAATTTCAAAGAGGAATATACACCGGTTGTTGAGATATTAAACCTTTACTTTCCTTCATCATTGGGCCCTGGCCTCCGCTGTTCCAATTACGTCATTTTGAAGGAATAAGTTGGAATCTTAAAAGTGTGGCAGCTTGAGCGCAAGGCAATATATACCACCACTGCAACAATTGTCTTTTACCAAGGCTTTAGTATGAAATTCAAAAATCACTAAATCTGCGCTGACGCCATAAAGTCTTAAGCCTGAAACAGACTCTTTCCGCAGTCAGGAAATCGCATGCGAGAGCCTATTCAAATACATGGAAGCACGCTTGCGTCAATCGCACGCACCTCTCGCATGCGATTGATGCGAGAAGAATTATAATGTATTTCAATAGGCTCTCGCATGCGATTTTCTGAACTCGGAAAGAGTCTGTTTCAACCATAATGGGTCATTCAAATGCATTCGCCCAGTACCCTGGGTTACCCTAAAAGCCATTAGGTAATGGTTAACGATTCCAGTGGTATGGAAGAAAAGAACATGAAACGAGAAGAAATGAGGATAAAGGCTGAAACACGACTTCCGCAGTCAGGAAAATAGCATGCGAGAGCCTATTAAAAAAAAACATGAAATCACACCCGCATGAATCATGCGCACCTCTCGCATACGATTAATGCGAACAGAGGGGTGTTCACGGGCACCGCACACTGCTGCGTGCGGTGTGTGCGGTGCGTCCAGCAGGCGTGGGGGTAGGGGATGGGTAGGTGGTTCTGACGTCACGGCTGCGTGCGGTGGACGGTCCGCTGTGGCCAGTCCCGACCGGCCACAGCGATCGCTGTGTGCGGTGACGGAAGGCTGACGTAGGGAGGAAGTGGGCGGAGCTTCGAGGCTGTGTGCGGTCCGACCGCACACAGGGCCCGTGAACAGCCCTCAGGATTGCAATGTATTTGAATAGGCTCTCGCATGCGATTTCCTGAATGCGGAGTCTGTTTCAGCCTTAAAAATGAAAGAAGCAAATCTGAAATATTAAGCATACATGTACCTGGAGGAGTCGGTACTTGCATCCAAACACAAATGGCCATCAGTCGCCGTGCCGATAGCAGCGGCTGCTGCTGCACTCGGCCCCTTTCCACGATCAGCTGCAGCTTTCCTGAAACAATATTATGGAACTTAACCCGCGAGTTGCTGGGGGGGGGGGGGCGTTAAACGCCCCCACTTTTTTCGCCGGGCCATAGCATAAAAACGGCGCGCCGCAGGCGCGCCAAATTTTGGGTACCTGTAGGGAATTGATTGAAGTTTATTGTGACAAAGTTTCAAAAAAATCGGTCGGAAATTTTTTGAGATATCGAGGTTTTAGTGACGTCATGATTTCTGAGTTTTCGACCAAAAACGGCATATGTTCAAAAAATTATATAAAATCACAGAATAGACATACAGACATGCCGTAAACGCCATTAGACTGCCAATACCATGGTTAATCAAATGGCTATCTTCGATTATTGATTATCGTTCCGCATTTTCCATAATCTTGAACTGAATCTTGGCAATTTTTCGTGACTACTTCACGACCATGATACATGAATTTCTTAAATTGAACTTTTTGAGCCAAACACGTACACATATGATAAAATGAATGTCACCATCGTGTTCTACGCCCCAAATTACCTATAAAACATGTGTCACAGGCTGCGAATATCAGTTTTGATTTTCGGGGATATGTGCCTACCCGGTTGACCTGACCTTGACCCTGACCTATGCTTGATTGACCCATACATGGAGCTGACACTCTTGTAGGCCTTATAAGATGGATTGTGCGGCGTTTTGACAGAGTTTATGGCGAGAGGCGCCCATTGCGAAGTCCTGAAGTCCATGCTACTGAAAGCCCGATTTCAGGTGTTTGACCTGACCTTGACCCGACCTGTGACCTCAAAATTCAACTTTAAAGTACTCATCTGAATCGTCTCGTCGCGCTCTTTCGTTTGCCGCCTCGTGCGTTTCGCTGCGCCTATTGGTTCTCGAGTTATCGGCTGGGGGCGTTTAACGCCCCCCCCCCCCCCAGCAAACGGTGGGTGGCGAAATACCCCAGCAACTGCCGGGTTAAATGTCTTGTTCCATAATGGCGAAAATTCGTTTTCCCATACGCCGAGATATTCCTTTAGCACTATACTACCCGTGCGGGAAACATTGCACATGATCTTTCCTGCACTGCTTTCCGGCAGGGGTTGATGACTTACAGCCCTCGTGATTTTTTGATAAAAAGCTTAAAGAATGTGATTTAATTTAAATAATTAAATTGTGAGTTAATGAATGGATAGCAGTTAAGCGACGTATGGGAAAATCTTACTAAACACGCTGGGAAAGAATAATGGAAGCTTCGGCCTTAAAAAAAAAATCAGGCACTCGGCTACGCCTCGTGTCTACGATTTTTTGAAGACCTTGGTTTCCATTTTTCTTTCCCAGAGCCGTTCAGTAATATATTGCATGCTAAAGTGGGCTCAAACAGGACATATACCTATGTAATTTCTAGGCAGTGCCTGTGACTATGAAGATTGCCAAAGGGGATAGGCTGGAAAAACTAATGGTATTCTATTTCGTAATCTTATATTCACATGTGTCAGATAAAAAGCAGAGAACTTAGCATTGATCGCTGAAATAATAACAGTTAACAGTCACCATACGTCAAACACAGCACCTACGCAATAGGGTGGTCCGTTTTTGGAAAATTTTCGCTGAGACAGCTCGGCTGTTGCTCTTTAGATGTGTTTTTGGGCGCTGATCACGAATCTGGCATCAGAATTGCAATTTTCGAAAATTTTGAGACCGCACTGATCGATCAAAGATTTTCAAAATTACTGAATTTTCGACGTTCAGGCTAACCATTGCCAAATGCTGCATCTGTCGATGAAAATCGCGCAAAGGCATGATAGACAGAACCTTTGCAATCATCTTTAAACCAGTCGCAGTCGTCTTGTGTCAATGATACGATTAATAATTTCGTCGAATAATTATCCCCACACCCTGCTTCTGTTGGCGCTCCAGAGATGGCGCTGCTATCGGCTCCGCGCGGCCATCAGCTGCATTGTTTATTTATCGCCGCGACGGTTAGGCGGATTTTGCGGAATGTGTGAGTGTGTTGTAGTATTGAAATGCTTATTATGTTACATATTTTAGACCTAGGTATCCATATTTCAAACCTCGAATACAAATAGGGGAAGTGTTCCTAACCCCCATCCCTACCCCCGTCCAGGTAGTTTATCATCGCTGCACGCTACGTCTTTTGAGATAGAGATCTGAAATTTAGTCTAGCTGCTCATTTATCCTTTGTCGAGCATGACTTAAAATTTGAAGAATCTGTGACCTTTGGTTCTGGAGATATGACCTCGTTTTCAAGGTCATATCACGGCCGAAAACGCCGATTGGCCATGTTTCGCGCAAATTGAACCATGCTTGGCCAATTTGTAGTTGTTGTTTTGTAGTGGTTGTGGTTGTTTTGCCATGTGTACCATTTCGAGAATCAACCAGAGTATGCCTTGATTCAGCATGAAGGTCGAGGTCATTGTCAAGGTCAAGCTAGGTCACCGTAAATAGCCTGCATAGATGTGCCGCTTTCATGACTGCTGTAAGCCCCTCCAGCCCCCCCCCCCCCCCAAATCAACACCTCCTTTATTAACGTCTCCGCCTACCCGCGCACCCCCTAACTATCGTAATTCGTAACGTTACTTTTTAAAGGGATTATCAGGGTTTAAAAATTGAAAGGAATCGGCATAAATTTCCAATCAATGAACTCCCCAGACTCTGCCGATTCTAAAGATATGCATAAAATGTAAATCGGTACCAAAATTTGCGAGATATAGCCGTTTCAAAATTGACAAAATTGTACTTACTCACGCAAAACAAGTACTTGGGCGGCCAAGTTGGCCCATCGCTAAAATGTAAACAAAGAGCAGCCTTGGGAAATTTCGCCAAGGCCGCCGCACCGCACTGAAATCCACAAGACGGGCCTTGTCTGTTTTGTTTTTGTCTGTTGTTTTTAGGGCCTTGCAACAAGATTTCAGTGCTTGGCATTGGATTTGGATATTAACAAATTGAAGATTTACTTTTCAATAAGACAGCAAGAGTTATCAACATTGCCAAAGTTATTATTTGGGTGTGATTTGAATAGCTTGTTTGCTGATCATCAAAATATTGATGTTAATATCATTTAAATGTCAACAATTTTCAAGGTTAATTTTGAGTGTTTTATTTCAATAAATTGAAATGTAAGTGCATCAGGCACAAGAGCTAAGTTTGAATCTGATTATTTTGTCAAGAGTGGTGAATCTAATGTAACGTCTTGCGAGAAAGCTTACCTGAGTGACTGAAGAAAGCGCTACAGTTTTTCAAGATCTATGTTGATCTGTTTTTCGAACAACAGGTCGTACAACATGATGTTGTGACATGACCTCTGTGCCCTGTACGTCTCCCCTGCTAGTGCTGCTGCAGCAGAGCCCCGCCTTCAACTATAGTTTGTTATGGGTGGGCTCTCCGTGAACGTCTTGGTGCGTTTCAACATATTGTTGCTGTGAAAGGACTGTACATGAAAAAATATGTAACTTGTATGTTTTTTATTGCCCTGGTACCTACTTAATGTATATTTTTGTTGTTTATGAGTGATAAATGAATATATTTTGAGGAAAATTGAGGCATTTCAGTTTTAGTTTGTGGAACAGAACAGAAGAAGCTGTTGAGTGCAGATCATGCTTCATTTGAGAGAATCATCCTCAGTTATCTACATATAAGCATACTTTGTAAGCTCCTTGCATTTTGCCAGCTTCTACTTGCTAGTCAAAGTTGTAAGAAGGGTTAGGGAGAACAATTGGTACACATGCCACCATGTGCAATCACCAAACGAATGAACGTGAGGGCCAAGTCCTTCACACAGCATGGATACTTATTGGTACTGCACTAATGTATAATGTTCATTATGTTCATATTAGCAACTCACCCAGGCAGCCTGCCTTGTGGTATTTCTGAGTTTAAGATTTTGTAAGACTCACACTAATCAATAAGGTAAATTATATTGATATGTATGGATGAACAATGTGCAAAGGGGTCGCACGTGCCTGCTCAGTGCTCAGCCATGGATGCACGTTCCTTCTCAACAATGGGCGTGCTTGCAGACATCTCCATGGACGAGCAATGTGCAAGGGGGGGGGGGCGTGCCTCCGCGGCCGCCTGTTGGCTCAGCCGCTGCTGCTGCTTGGCGCCGCTGCTGAGCGCTGCCGGAGACGCCGCTCGCTGCCGGAGCTGCCGGAACAGTCACCGGAGCTGCCGCCCGCTGCCGGAGCTGCGGGAGCCGGGCCCGCCGCCCATCTGTCAGGACCGCCGACGGCAGCACGCCCGTCTGTCATGGTCTGTCAGTGCCGGCAGTGGACGCGCGCGGGTGCGGGCCGGGTACGGACGCGCGCGGGTGCGCGCCAGGTACGGGTGCGCGCCGGCTATGGACGCGCGCGCGCTTGCGTACCGACGATGGGCGCGCGCACGTGTATGCCGACCATGGCTGCCGCCCGCTGCCGGAGCTGCGGGAGCCGGGCCCGCCGCCCATCTGTCAGGACCGCCGACGGCAGCACGCCCGTCGGTCAGGGTCTGTCAGTGCCGGCTGTGGACGCGCGCGGGTGCGCGCCGGGTACGGACGCGGCGTTTTCGCCGGGTAAGGACGCGGCGCGCGCGCCGGCTATGGACGCGCGCGCGCTTGCGTGCCGACGATGGGCGCGCGCGCGCGTGCATGCCGGCCATGGCCGCGCTCGTGCGCCCCAGCCATGGACGCGCGCTAATGCGCGCCGGCGATTGGCACGCAAGTGCCTGCTCGGCAATGGATGAGCGACGACCGTGCCTTCTCGGAAATGAGTATACATGCAGACATCTTCATGGATGGACGCTTTCAATATGTTCAATGTGTTGAGACGGATCTGAGTAAATTGAAGAGAAACTAGGATAGTTTTAGTCCTGCTCAACTGGTTCTGCCAATAAGTACAAACACCACCTTGCTGCCAACTGCTTACCAAATACCGCATCTGTTGTACCCTTGCATGATGCATATGTACATACAGAAACAATTACAGTCTGTTGAAATCTGAAAACATGCACTGCTGAGCACTGTGGATGAATCTG